ATTGAAGATGCCCGTAGACAAGAATGAATGAGAAAAAAGAGAATGAAGCGTTTCTCTCTCCCTGTTATCAGTGGAAAACATCCTATTTAATCTTACATCAGATCAGGTGGTTGGTTGAGCTCGACTTCATGTCCGTTCTCGTAACCCGACCCATATAAGTGGTTAAGTGTTTTGAGAATAAACTATCCAGAGTCGATCGATCCGATCATAGGAGCGCTGGATTCACCCTGCATAGGAGAACTGGCCCAATCCCGTCATTTGAATTACCAGAACCGCACAAAAAGGAGGATTTTCAGCTATACTAAATGTCGGAGTAACCTCTCGAAATGTCCCTACATAACATTCATGGTTTACAGGAACGAAGTCGTATTGCTAAGTAATAGAGCTGGCGACAAAGCTGACAGCAGTACTCGAGGGAGCGAGAAAGGAAGGGGAAGTGGCCATTCGAAGGGGCTTCCATCTAAACAAAAACAAATCGAGCATCGCGCAATTGATGCACATCCGAGAGTGAGAGAGAGTGGCCAAATCTTGTCTATCGTTTTTAGTTACCTCTCCGAATAGTCGCACAAGAATAAACGAGAAAGGCATTAGAGAGAGAACAGCTAAAAAAGGGAATGATCCAAGTAGTGGGCGATCTGTTTTCTGGAATACAAGAGTAAACTGTATCGTCACAAAATTAACTACTCCTATGCTGGGTAATCCGCCATGCACTCGATTAACACTAGAACAGTCTATCCATTTTGAATGCGTGTGAGACCTATATAAAGTCTGTATAAGACAGTGTTATTATCCTTCTAAATGAGTCTAGTACCAATTAACCAAGTCCTGAAGGATGATAGGCTTGTTGGCTAAGGCGGATATCGGTCCATGATTCGTTCCCGGGACCATCCGTGTAATAGTGGGTCGTTCACCACCTTCGCCCTTTTTTTGGTAGATGTCAAATAACTGAACCCTTTTCAAGTGACCAGCGCTTCCACTCATATCCGGCTCAGAAACCAGGCTTCGCCAGAGTCATTAGGCTTCATAAACTGCAAAAGTAGTACAGAACGAAGTCCTTATTCTTACAGTTTCTTACAGAGTGCCTTTTCTTGAAAATAAACCCTTTTGAACTACTGCGACTCATCAAAGAGTACACTTAGAACCAGTTTCCAATTGGGTAAGACAGATAATTAAACACAGATGCAACAAACATTTCGAAGACTACTCATAAGATTGAAAGAAGTACGAATAAGCTCTACAATTGACTTTAGTAAAATTTACTTGGGGACGACTTCAATTCAGAAACGCAGTGAAATTTATTTGTCATGCAATCCTCCTTCACAATGACTTACAAGAACCAGCCACCTCGACGAATCAGAATTTTCATCCTGCCAGACAATAAGGCCCCAATGGGCTTGCCCAGATGAGAGAGAAGGATCAATAACTTGTCTTGGCGTTTTGGATCAAAGATTTAATTTCCAGGCCATAAGAATGGGAGCTGTGTTGCACAGGGAACGGATATGAAGGGAAGATCGGAGAAAAAAATGTTAGGGACCTAGGCGGCTATTTACTGATTTGGGGCATGCAAACACGTGCGTTTTCTTCTTTATTTTTTCATTTGAAAATTGAGCCGTTTCCATTTGGAAAGAGCGCCTTCCTAGTAAAACGTCCACTCTCTTTCCCTAGTCATGAGACGTCTGATTTTTAAAAGAATTTTTTAAATCCGAATTTTTTCTGAGCATAGGGCATGGAGGCATGGAGAAGGCATTCAGCTAAGCATGACACATTTTTCGCCCCGTGGAAGAAATATTTGGGTGTAGATGAAGGTAAATACCGATAAGTATGAGAGAAAACCTATAAAAGCTGTTAGACACAGATGCATAAGATGCCCTAGCCGCTGAATCAGAATGTTGTAGGAATGAATAAGAAAGTAAAAATGGACAGTAGAAGAAAAAATCGGATCAAGTCATCGATGCGAGCGGGCAAAATGTAAACAATGAGTCGAAATGGCCTAGAGAGGCATTCTAGAGGTCATCAGCCATCAATAGTTCAAAGACACTTCTCAAAAAAACTGAAAGGTGCGCTGGCGATACTCACGAGGGTCGTTGACGAACGTCTGGACTGGTGTAGTGTACCACTCAAGATTAAAGCGCCGTCAGTGAGCCCAGTGTGCGAAACCACCTCGACCACCACTACCTCGGCTGATGAGCAAATAGAAAATTTCCAGACGGTACACAAAAAACACTGATTGAATCGACCGTATGTGTGATTAGCGGTGTCATTAGATCGTCACGGTCCCGTCACCACGCGTTGACCATCCGTCACGAGAAGGATCTAATAGTTAGCACAAAATGACCTCAGCACCCGTGAAACTATTATAGCTATTATCACTCAATGTTATTAGATTATTGAGATTATTTTTGAAAACCCTTACAAACTTTGAACATTAGCTTTATTGGGCTGACACTTCGCCGAGATCACCCTTTGCAGAGTCAAAAGGGATCATTACTATTTCTGACTATCCGGTCAACCTTCCATAGCTCCACTGAAGTTCGAGACCCCCACGAAACGCCCATGATCTAAAGCAGGGTCCTTCACCGTAGCTTCGTGATATCTTAGAACCCTAGCTGCCTATAGGAGCACTATCCAGTTCCAGACAACTGGCCATTGGGATTGGTTTCCATTAAAAATTACTGGGCTGAGGTTCATAGAAAGCTGTTCACAGAACTTGAAGAATACTAATTTTTTTATAGGGCAATGATGGTTTATTGACAATTGGAGCGCGCTATAACACCCATAGCTTGGGATCGAGTCCCGGATCGAGATTATAATTATGTACTGAAAAGCACAATGAAAGGGTAAGTAAATTGATTGAAATCAATCAACATTTCCCCACTCCTTGACCTTGTCCCGAGACTGAAACTCATCAAAGAGATCCCTTATCATGATGCCTGAGCTGCGTAATCGGGTGCTAATGGGAAAATGCTATCTAGACTGTTGATATGGTATTACGAGATCACAATCTCAGACGATTTATATCAGTTGGTGACAGGCAAAAGTGAAGTGGGTAAGTTTTGGGAGATGGATGATGACGCGCTGAAACTTATCATGGAATAAAATCACCTATTCAATCACTTTGTCACCCAGTCGAAATCGGCACGACTGCCAAATACGTACTTCTCAAAATGGCTTATGCAAAACTCGAATTGCGGAGACTGAGATGATCCATCATTCAACATGCCCATCCTCCCAAATGAGTGTGGTAGCAGCTAACAGACTCCGACGGGATGGAGCGATTTTTCGGCTAAAGCATAGTTAGGTTCTAATTTTGTCTTTTGGCCATGCATGACCGCTACCACTTGCAATTATTCCGACCTGATGCCAAACTTTGTGAAAACCCTTTGTATTTCGTACCGTCTCTACCTTCAAGATTGGAACCGGTCCGACTTGTCAGAAGGACGCGAAGGAGACTGGTAATACCGCTAGAAAGTAGTATTCTGCAGTATGCCACGTCCAGGGATAAAGTGGCTTTTGACAGTGTAGAAAGTTATTACTGAAAGACGTGTAAACTACTTCTCTATTCCTCAATAGCCCACAATTTTTAGTTCTTTCAATTTTGCCTAAAAAAGCTTCCAGATGTTTTTAACGTCTGGACTAAGTTACTGACAGTGAGACCAAATAAGCTCATACTCCTAGTATGAGCTGTGACCGAGGCAAACAAGCGATCCCGTAAGCAATGTCGACACAGACACTCTCACTTTCACAAAACTTTCGTAAATGGTTGTGACGGATACAATATACTGATTTGACTGCTACCACTACTTATAACAAGTGTTAAGCATCTAAAAAAGCCTTTTTCTCCGAGCATAAGCCCCATTCGTATGATGGTTTAGTAACAGTGAGCCGTAACAGATTTACAGAAACTGCCAATCAAACTGGTAGAATAGTAATGCGTAATAGCTCCAACTTGTCAATCAAATACAACGATGCACTCACCTGCTACCTTACAATTACACAGGGTAAGTTTAATCATCCCGTCGCTCCCAACTCGGGTGTAGCAACTTAGAGTTGCGCCGAAAATGATTTCAAAACTCCGCAAACAGGCGCGATGGTCCTTAAAACCTGCACCTTAAGTCCTTTATGGATCAGAAGGTCTCCAAACTTACGACAGCGAATCTTCCAAAACTTCATTAAGATATTGTTGACAACGGAATATTGTGAACTACTTCCACTATCCTAATAACACTGCTTCTACAGAGACTGGCGCCACTCTAGAAACATCTGCTATCAGAACACTGTTAACGATAAACAGTTCCACTTATATGACAATATTTCAGTACAGATAAATCCCAAATTGAATGACAAAACATTGGATCCAATTCCATAAGGGAAAAGAAAAAGAAACGACAATTGGGAGAGATATCCATTTAAAAAAGAAGAACAAAACAAGGATACTAGTAATAAAAATAAACGAAACAACAAAAAAGAGGTCCGAGATACCAACTTCTTAAAGTAAACTCGAGTGAATCGCTTCTTCGGCAGTCTATCGACGGGCATATTCGCCATTTGACGTGCATGTCATTGCAATCAAACCGAATTCCCAGTACATATGTCCAATGCTATCTGTGACAAATGTCCGCCGTTTTTGTACCTTGGAAACTTCACCATAGACGTCCCCAGAGAGAGTAGGAGGAGGGAGTGAGAGAATGAGAACGCCATTGAATGACCACGACAAACACAACACAACGATGACGGTGGTGATAGTGACACTCGAATTATCAGTATATACGAGATAACATGAATGGAGATATCAAATGTTTGGAAGAGGAGAAAAAGTTGGAGGATTGAGATGAACGCAATATCGATGACCGAATCACTGGCTATGCCAGTGCCGGATGTAAACGGCGTATGAAATAAACGGGCAGCTAGCTGGACCGACATGACATTTGAAACGGGGCACCGTATCAGAGCAGTACAAAAACACGGTATTACCGGGTATTTGAACACACTCCTCTGATATCTTACATAATCGAGCATCGCTCCGCTGGATCGGACGGGTCGGTCGATTCATCAGACTCGAACGTTACCGATGACCGGAGATCTCCTTCATGATCCTCAAGGCGCACAGACGGATTGTCACCCATCGGCCACTGAAAAGATACACTTAGAGCAGCTGTACGTTTCAAATTTCCTCACAAAAAAGTAAAACTCTAAATAAAGTAAGAAGGATAGATCGACAATATGGGCGGGGAAGAATAGGACTAATCTCAAAACACTTCAATGTGATTTCAAAGTCACTCACATTCTGCTTCTTCATAACGAAATCGGTTGGCGGGCGGTGCTTTTCTCCAGAATCCGCGGAGTAGACAGTGGCGTGACCATGAGGGTCCAACTTCATGCGTGTGTTGAACTGATAGGTGACCTGAAGAAAGGATAGAATTGAATAGGTTGGTAATCACAATTCTGAACTAAAATGTCTCTATTCGAACAAGCATCAACTATTGATAACTCACTTCCTTTCCACCAGCACGGACAAGCAACTTCCAGTGGGCAATGCTGACTTCTTCATCGGTATTATTGCTGATACGTACCCATTGACCGTTAGGATCAATCTCTTCGATTCCTACAGGGCCATCGACGTGCTTTTGCATCTAAAGAAGGAAAGAACTAGACAAATTTCTCATCCTCGAGATGGAAAAATTTGACCTGATATCCATTCGATTCTTTACTCACTCTCTGGCTAAGCCTATGGAAATCCAGCTCATCACCATTGCCGTCCCATTCTATTCTGGCTCTCTTCACTCCACGCTGAGCACTACCTGAAACCAGACTAGTAATGAATCTTGAGATACACACGAAAAAAATTTTGGCCTAACATATCTTCATCAGTTCAAAAAAGCCTTAATAAATTTAACGAGAAAAACATACCGCTGCCGGACGTGAAAGACACATGGTGTGAAGTCATACTGTTGTCGCGCGACTGACCACCGGCACCAGAAATGTTGAGACGACTTTCCTCAGACTGAAAACGGAAAACAGTAATCTCTGAATGTACTTAAAAAAAAGGGCTTGAATTTTTCAAATAAAGTACAGGAACAGTGATCATTCCTTAGTGAAAAATAATCCAAAAAAGAAA